AAAAGGCAGGGCTACTGGAGATCCATGAAGTCGGATGGCTGGTTCCCATTACTTTAACGTTATCAGCAATGCTGCAGTAGCGCCCCATCGAGACCGCTTGCGGCAATACAGAATGAGAATAGGAATATGAGCCGACCGAAAAAAAACTACCTTTGGAGAATTGAACGTACTGCTCGATTTGAATCGGCACATTTAACTGCAGGCGATCACCTTCCTTGTAGACACCGAGACGGGTCCCTTTATTTAGCCAGATCCTATTTGCCTCGAAAAAAGATTCGAACGCGGACCGATAAGTAACAACAAATGGATACTTGATGGGATCGGCGAGAGGAAGAGGGTTCATATTATTGCCTTGAAGATTTAAGCAGTTTGCAGTTTTTACTGGATACTGAGAACTCTCTCATTAGTTCGCGGCGAATAGATCAAATGCAAAGCTCATAGTGCTATTCCGATGAAACAGAGAGAATCTCGCCGCTCGAGGTAGGCTGTTCTCGCCAAGTCCAAGGATTGAATTTTTTATACAGGGCCTTTCCCTTCACTCCCAGATGAACGCGGTCGCCGATCAGCACGCTGTCGTCGAAAGCGCCCGCAATATCGAACATCGCGTCGCTGTTGCGTCCGATCAGGTACAGCGGCGCTGGATTGGATAGGAACTGGAACACGCCGGCGCTATAGGCATGCAACTCTTCTCTTCCCCTCACATGCTGTATGGCGACGAGCGACCCAGGGAACGCGGCGCACATATGGGCATTGCCGCCCTGCACCGTGATGAAATGATGGCAATTGCTGAAGATTTCGAGCTTCAGTGAATTGTAAGACTTTCCGGAGCTTGCCAGGTAGTCACCGAATACCAGCACTTCCGGGTGGCGCTGGGCTACCTCGACGTCGCTATAGTTCAGGAGTCCCGAGGCTTCGTTTGAATATCCACGGCTCAAATCTGCTTTCCGCGCAGCTTCGAAGAATACGATCTGATATTTTTCCTTCAAGCGCCCGAACAGATGGTCCAAGAGATCCGGAGTGAAGTAGTTGACTGGCCCCGTCCATTCGGGCGTGAATTTGTTGTGAATGACGAGGAGCGGTCTGTCGAATGTCGCTTTACCTTTCAGGAAGGTCCGATAGTCCGGTGCCCACTCCAGGCCCTGCCGGATCGCAAAAAGCCCCGAAGGATTCGAATAATACGCCGGAACTATGCGCCGGGAGATAAATTTGCGCTGCTTTTGCACGGTCACGATCTGAGCAGGATCGAGGAAGTAGTAGAAAGGTTCCATGCCGGTATAGGTCACGACGCGGCGGCCCGCCAGCATTCCATGCCGATGAAGAAAATGCACATACGGGATGAAGTTGTTCAATTCCTCGCCGAATTCGCCCTCGAACGTGAGATCACCCGGTAAATTCCGCAAACGATCGATCAGGGACACCTGTTCGAGCCTGG